CCATCGCTGCAGCCACTGTGCCAATCCATCTTGTTGAGGGTCTTCCTCTTTTTCGCTGACCCTCTACTTTACCAAGCATGATGTCCTTCTCCAGGAACTGATCCCTTCTGACAACATGTCCAAAGTATGTGAGACGTAGTCTCGCCATCCTTCCTTCTAAGGGGCATTCTGGTTGTACTTCTTCCAAGACAGATTTGTTCATTCTTTTGGCAGTCCATGGTGTATTCAGTATTCTTCACCAACACCACAATTCAAAGGCATCAATTCTTCAGTCTTCCTTATTCATTGTCCAGCTTTCGCACGCATATGGTGCAGATGAAAATACCACGGCTTGGGTCAGGTGCACCCGAGTCTTCAAAGTGACATCTTTGCTTTTCAACACTTTAAAGAGGTCTTTTGCAGCAGATTTGCCCAATGCAACGCGTCTTTTGATTTCTTGACTGCTGTTTCCATGAGTGTTGACTGTGGATCCAAATAAAATGAAATCCTTCACAACTTCCATCTTTTCTCCGTTTATCATGATGTTGCTTATTGGTCCAGTTGTAAAGATGTTTGTTTTCTTTATGTTGAGGTGTAATCCATACTGAAGGCTGTGGTCTTTGATCTTCATCAGTAAGTGCTTCAAGTCCTCTTCCTCTTCCATAAAAAGCTACTAGGTTAACATTTAATGAGTTTACTGCTGTTCTTTTTAAATTTATTAGTATTTTTCAAATTTCTCTGTTTTAATGTATAATATGGGAAATATCAATGGATATAATCCAAATAAGCAAAAGCTCTTTGACGATCTCAATCATTTTTAAAAGTGTAAAGGGGTCCTGAGGTCAAGTGTGAGAACAGCTACACTAGAGGCACACAGGTAGAACAGAGTCCTGTATATAAAAAGAGTTGCTTTGAGACTTTTCAGGGTATCCAGGGACCATACCTGCTTGGCAAAAAATATTGTGTCAAGTCTGGAGTCCTGAACCACAGAGCCTGCTGGTTCTTCTCCTGGCTGCCACTTGAAAAGAAAAATTAACCCATGAACTGGCCTACAAAATAAAATACAAATTAATGATACCAAACCCTGCTTCTTTTATGACACATTGTCAATATATTAAATTTCAGTCCCCTACTTAACACATGTAATGACAAATTAAGTAAATATGAGAAAATTTCAAAAGATCACTATTGCCATTTATAGTCACTAGAATGTTGCCTAAAAGGTTAATAACACTTAAAATTATATTAGTTAATATAGAATTATAATGAAAGGTTTAACGGATTATTCATTTCTAAATTATATCACCTCACTTAAAAATAGAAAAAAAAAACATAGTAAAACTATAAAGTTATTAACCCTAGATTGAAATCTATGATATATGGATAAAGTTCACAAAGGATGTTTATAGATAAATGGCTGATAGCATATATATTATTAAATACAGGGAGCCACCTTCATATAATCATTGGACTCATGAACAATCCTCAAGCTACAGTATGAACAGATGCTCTCACCTCAGACACAATGAAGTCACTCCCTTTCCTAAAGGAACTGTTGTTGCCTACAAAAAATTAAATTACTACTTTAGGATATCCTCCAGGCTGTCTTTCACAATTCCACTTAGCAAAAATCTTTCTTATCTTTTTAGGAAACAACTCAAATGATGTCTCTTTAATCAACTTTCCCTGATCACTTAGTCAGAAACAATCTTTTATTCTATCTAAAATGATCCCCCATTTTGCGGAGATGAGGAAGATGACGGAAGCCAACTATCCCCTTCTTGCTATTGAAAAGACTAAGCATGTCCCTATAGTCCACATTTTTTCTTTTCAAAGCCTATTCCTTGTCCCCATTCCAAGATTCCAAGAACTCTCCCACCAATGAAAACTATACTAGCCCTCCTCCTGAATATATGCAGATACAAGGTCAACGCTGGGGATAAGGGGAGGTGGGAGTAAGGAGAAGGCTCAGAGAGGTGACTCTGGTCAGAAAGATGGGAGAAGAGGAAGGTACTTCCTGTCATTCACATTTTAAAATTGGAATGTAACTTCCCCAAGAAGCAATATGATAATATGTAGGCAATTTCTGTATTACTATTATTATACATTATCTATTAAATCTAATTTGTAAACTGACCTATTATTCATATTTTTTACGTTAAAATGTGTTCCATGTTCTAGCACTACTAATCTACGAATGAATTTTGTGAAAAATCAACCAACTGGTATTTTGTGAATATGATATTACAGACACTTAGGTTTGAATCCTATACAAATTATTTATTCAGGTTCTTGGTTATAAAATGCAGATAATACCTATCTCAGGGGATTGAAAAAAAAAAAACTTAAAGGAAATAATAAGTTGAACTTAGAGTAACCCAAATAAACAGACAAATCTGATGATCCTTTAAGTTTGCTAAAATATAGATATATTATTATTTTTAACATACCAAAATTATACTTACTTTAATTTTTCAAAATTCTCAGGCTCCAAACTCCATATTTCTTCTACTTGGGCTCCTCGGCAACCTAAAATTAGAAATTATTTTCTTCAGAAAACAAGATCATTCATTTTTTTTCCTTCACCATTTAATAAAATAGCTACTAAAACAAATGTACATTTGGGGGCAGAAAGACATAACAAATTAAATGGTAAAAGCTGATAAAGCTTACAAATTCTATTAATTTCTTTAACAGTTCCTAATTATATACAGTGTATTACTTTTATTAAAAAAAAAAAAATCCAAGTGGTTATGTGCATTGAGTCACCACCTTGTGACTCAGCTTCTCTCTCTCTGGCTTCTATTCATTCACTTTTTCCCTCAACTGTTAGTTTTGCCCACTGTGCCCTTGGTCTTCTTTTTTTCTTACTATAATAAACTTTTTTTCACCTTTTCCCCCCTGAGAAAGCAAACAATTACTACTTAACAATGACTTTTAAATTCTATCTTTAGTTCTGATCCTTTTCTTAAAATTCCAAATCTTTACTTCCATCTACTTCATAGTGACTTCCCTCACCCTGCCCCAAAATGAAATCTACCTCTAGGATAGTTGTTCTCAACCAGGGTACATTTGGCAATGTTTCCTGGACACATTTTTTTATTGTCTCTATGAGGGGAAAGGGTAGCCCTGGTGGCATAGTGGTTAAGAGCTTGGCCGCTAACCAAAAGGTTGGCAGTTCAAATCCACCAGCTGCTCCTTGGAAACCCGATGGGGCAGCTCTATTCTGTCCTATAGGGTTGTTGTGAGTTGGAATCGACTTGACAGCAACAGGGTTATGGGCAGGAGGGGTGGGGTTGCTACCAGCATCTAGGGGTAGAGACGAGGGAGGCCATTAAACATCCTACAGTGCAAAGGACAGCCACTATCAAAAAAGAATATCTGGCCAAAAATGTCAATAATGCTGAGGTTGAGAAATCCTGCTCTAGTAGTATCATACTAATGGTGTAGTGGTTAAGAGCATGGTCTCCAAACTGCCAAGGTTCAAATTCTGGCTCCTCCATTTACTAGCTGTATACCATTTAATCTGTTTCCTAGATCATAGGGATGTGATGAGGAGTAAATGAAATAATGCATAAGATACACTTAATATAGTGCCTGGCATACTCTAAGCATTCACTCAATGTTAGCCAGTATTATCACAAGGCAAACAAAAGTTATGTTTACCAGAGCCTTCTATGTGTGAAGTGCTTTAAATGAATTTTCTCTAATCTCTCCAAGGCAGCTATTTTATGGAAAAGGCAGGGTTAGGGATATTAAGCGACTTGCCAAAATCCACTATACCTAATGTGCTGGATAATTTTGTAAGTCAACTTGATTAGGGTATGTTGTTGTTGTTAGGTGCCGTCCAGTCGGTTCTGACTCATAGCAACCCTACATACAACAGAACAAAATACTACCCGGTCCTCACCATCCTTACAATCACTATGTTTGAGCCCACTGTTGCAGCCACTTTGTCAATCCATCTTGTTGAGGGTCTTCTTTTTATCGCTGACCCTCTACTTTACCAAGTATGATGTCCCTCTCTAGAGATTGGTCCCCCCTGGTAATATGCCCAAAGTATGTGAGAAGTAGTCTCGCCATCCTTGTGTCGAAGGAGCATTCTGGCTATACTTCTTTCAAGAAAGATTTGTTCATTCTTCAGACATTCCATGGTATATTCAATATTCTTCACCAACACCATAACTGAAAGGCATCAATTCTTCTTTGGTCTTCCTCATTCATGTTTCAGTACTCGCATGCATATTAAAAAAAAAACAAAAAACACCAAACCCGTTGCTGTCAAGTCGATTCTGACTCATAGCAACCCTAAAGGACCCTAAAGGACAGAACTGCCCCATAGAGTTTCCAAGGAGCGCCTGGTGGATTTGAACTGCCGACCTTTTGGTTACCAGCCATAGCTCTTAACCACTACGCCACCAAGGCTTCTATGCATATGAGGCAACTGGAAATATCATGGCTTGGGTCAGGCACACCTTAGTCTTGAAAGTGACATTTTTGCTTTTTAACCCTTTAAAGAGGTCTTTTGCAGCAGATTTGCCCAGTGCAATACATCGGTTTATTTCTTGACTGCTGCTTCCATGGGCGTTGATTTTAGATTCAAGTAAAATAAAAATTCTTGACAACTTTAATCTTTTCTCCATTTATCATGATGTTGTTCACTGGTCCAGCTGTGAGGACTTTTGTTTTCTCTCTGTTAAGGTGTAATCCGTACTGAAGGCTGTAGCTTTAATCTTCCTCATTAAGTGCTTAAGTCCTCTTCACTTTAGCACACAGGGGTGTGTCATCTGCATATTGCTGGTTGTTAATCAGTCTTACTCCAATTCTGATGCCATGTTCTTCTTCATATAGTCCAACATCTTGGATTATTTGCTCAGCATACAGATTGAATACGTATGGCGAAAAGATACAATCCTGGCCACATCTTTCCTGATTTTAAACCATGCAACTGTATCTCCTTGTTCTGTTCGAACAACTGCCTCCTGGTCTACATACAGGTTCAGCATGAGCACAATTAATTTTCTGAAACCCCCATCCTTCACAATGTTATCCATAATTTGTTCTGATCCACACAGTTGAATGTCAATGCATAGTCAGTAAAACACAGGTAAACACCTTTCTGGTGTTCTCTGCTTTCAACCAAGATCCATCTGACATCTGCAATGATATTCCTCGTTCCACGTCCTCTTCTGAATCCGAATTTCTGGCAGCTCACTGTCGATGTACTGCTGCAACCACTTTTGAATTATTTTTCAGGACAATTTTACTTGCATGTGATATTAATGATATTGTTTGCTAATCTCCACTGTTGGATCACCTTTGGAATGGGCATGAATATGTATCTCTGCCAGTCAGCTGGCCAGGTAGCTGTCTTCCAAATTTCTCTGCATAGACAAGCAAGCATCTCCAGCGCTGCATGTTTGTTGAAACATCTCAAATGGTATTCCATCAATACCTGGAGCCTTGCTTTTGCTAATGCCTTCAGTGCAGCTTGGACTTCTTCCTCCAGTACCATCGGTTCTTGATCAGATGCTACCTTCTGAAATGGCTGAACGTCAACCAATTCTTTTTGGTACAGTGACTGTGTGTATTACTTCCATCTTCTTTTGATGATTTCTGCATTGTTCAATGTTTCTGTCCATAGAATTCTTTAATATTGCAACTTGAGGCTTGAATTTTTTTTTTTTTTTCCTCCAGTTTTTTCAACTTGAGAAATGCTGAGCGTGTTCTTCCTTTCTGGTTTTCTAACTCCAGGTCTTTGTACATTTCATTGTAATACTTTACTTCGTCTTCTCAAGCTACCCTTTGAAATCTTCTGTTCAGCTCTTTTACTTCATCATTTCTGCCTTTCACTTTAGCAACTCTACATTCAAGAACAAGTTTCAGGGTCTCTTCTGATATCCATTTTGGTCTTTTCTTTCTTTCCTGTCTTTTTAATGACCTCTTGCTTTCTTCATGTTATGATGTCCTCGACATCATCTCACAACTAGTCTGCTCTTCAGTCATTAGTGTTCAAATAAGTCCAATCTACTCTTGAGATAGTCTCTAAATTCAGGTGGGATATACTCAAGATTGCACTTTGGGCTCTTATGGACTTGTTTTAATTTTCTTCAGCTTCAAGTTTAACTTTCATATGAGCAACTGATGGTCTGTTCTGCAGTCAGTCGGCCCCCAGCCTTGTTCTGACTGGCGATATTAAGCTTTTCCATTGTTTCTTTCCACAGATGTAGTCAGTGTGATTCCTGTGTAGTCTATCTGGTGAGGTCCACATGTACAGTCACTATTTATTTTATTGAAAAAAGGTATTTCCAATGAATAAGTCTTTGGTTTTGCAAAATTCCATCATGCGATAAAATACCCAGCTTTTTAATCAAACATTACCTAGGTATTGCTGTGAAGGCATTTTGTAGTTGTGATTAACATGTACAATCACTTACTTTAAGTAAAAATTAAAAAAGATTACCACCTGCTGACCTGCCCCACAAATTTCACACTTTCCAGTCCCCATAATCATGTGAGTCAATTCCTTAAAATAAATTTCTTGATACGTGTGTGTGCGAGCATTTATCTGCTACTGATTCTGTTTCTCTGGAGAACCCTAACTGATACAGATTTTATACCACAAGTGGTTTGAGAGGAACAGAATCTTAAGTTATGTTTTCTGAATTGGTTCTGGGGTTTCTGGAACAGGTTATCACAGCTGATTAAAGGACACTGTGAGTCCATGGTGTGATGTAGTAATAAAGATACACAAAATATCACCATCAGACACTCGTAATCAAATACTAAGATCCCCGGTGGCACAGTGGTTAAAGCTCTCACCTGCGAACCAAAAGGTTGGCAGTTCAAATCCACCAGCTGCTCCGCAGGAGAAAGATGTGGCAGTCTGCTTCCATAAAGATTTACAGCCTTGAAAACCCTATGCAGCAGCTCTACTCTGTCCTATAGGGTCGTTAAGAGTCGGAATCGACTCTATAGCAACAGGAGTGGGAGAGTCAAATACCGATGAGACAAGGTTCTGGGTGACTATGTATTTGGTACTTTAGAACATTTCTGTCAAACTAACAAGTACAGCTGACATTGGTTGGTTGCTCCTAACTGCACTAGAGAAAGTGGAGAAAGAAAACAGTTAAGTTCAGGGTTTCAGATTCTCAGCTCAAGCACCACATAAATGACCTAAGTTTCTATATCTGCTCTAAAATAAACAAGGTACGTTGGTGGTGTAGTAATTAAGCACTCAGTTGCTAACCGAAAGGCTGGAAGTTTGAACCCCCCAGCTGCTCCATGAGAGAAAGATGCAACAGTTGGCTTCTGTAAAGATTCCAGTCTTAGAAACCCTATGGAACAGTTTTACTCTGTCCTATTAGGCTTCTATGAGTCAAAATCAACTGGAGAGCAATGAGTTTTTGGGTTTGGACAGATCCTGATGAAGATGGCAACACTGATACCCTTAAATTCTGCTGTCTTCTTCGTCAGTTGAAAGCAGCTCTTCCACCATCTGAAGAGGTTACTGTGCTTTCCCTGAAGAG